GTTATCTGCTTCTTCCTGAGTGAGCCTGGGCAATTTGTGGCTTTCAGGGAATTTGTCCATTTCCTCTAAAGCTATCAAATTTATGGCATGAGATTGTTTATAATACTATTACCCTTTCAAGATCTGTAGAATCTGGAGTGATGTTAACTTTCTCCTTCTATATATTAGTAACTTCTGTTTTTTCTTTCCTGAGCAATCTTAGCTAGAGTTTATTGATTTTTGAATCCTTACATTTTTTCTGCTCCAAAAATAGCTGATTTCAGTTTTGAAAGTTATTTCCTTTTGCTTATTTTATATTTAATTCACTCTTCTTTTTCTACCTTCTTAAAGTGGAGGCTCAGACTGTCCTTCCTTTCTAACATTTAGTGTTATAAGTTTTGTAAGTAATGGTTTAGCAGCATTCCACTAATTCTGTTGTTTTCACTTTTATTCCATTCAAACCACTTTTTTTTTTGGGGGGGGGGGTACTGGGGATTGAGCCCAGGGATGTTTAACCACTGATTCACATCCCCGGTCCTTTTATGTTTTACACTGAGACAGGGTCTCACTAAATTCCTCAGAGCCTCTCTAAATTGCTAAGGCTGGCTTTGAACTCACATCCTTCTGCCTCAGTCACCACGCCCAACTTCAAACCACTTTCTAATACCTCTTTGATCCATGAGTTAATTTCTAAATATTTTGGATTTCCAAGGATATATTACTGATATTTAATTCCAGAACAGCATGGAGCATATTGTATATAATTTCATCCTTCAAAATGTACTAAGACTTATTTTTATGGCCCAAAATATGGTCCATGTTGGTAAATGTTCCACCTGCACTTCAAATGAATGTGTAGGTTGGTTCTGCTGTTGTTGAGTGGAGTGTTCTATAATTTATTCAGATCAAGTTGGTTGATAGCATCATTTTGGTCTATAAGAAAATCCCTGCTGATTTTGTTTATTTATTATATTAATGAAAGTGAAGTACCAGATTTCTAATTATAACTGTGGATTTGGTTAGTTCTTTCAGTTTTATTATTTTTGGTTATTTTGAAGCTCTGATTTTTAGGAATGTAAGCATTCAGGATTGTTATATCCATGGATTAAATGATCCCTATACTTTATCATGAAATGGCTTATTTTTCCTTAGAAATTTTCTTTGCTCTGAAATCTCTTTGTCTGCTTTTAACAGAGGCATGTCAGTTTTCTTTTGACAAGAGTTAAGTGTACATTTTCCCATCTTTTTAATCTATTTGTAGTGTTACCTGTGTATTTCTTATAGGCAGCATATAGTTGGGATGTTTTTCATCCAGATGTTCTCTGTCTTTAAACAAGTGTTTAGATCATTTATATTTAATGTTATTATTTATGCACACACTGGACTCTACCATCTTATATGTCCCATCTGTTATTTAATCTTTTCCCTTTTTTTGGTCTTCTTTTAGATTTATCATGCATTTCCAATGATTGTGTACTTCTATTCTATTTTTCTTTGCTGGCATTTAGTCTTTGTTGTTTTTTTTTTTTTTTTCCTAAGATTAAGCAAGGAGCCATACTTTTATCCATATTACATTTTATAAGTTAAGATTATACACCACCACCAGATAATTAACTATTCTTTGGAGCCTGATTCAGTCATTCACATGATTTTCCTATCCTCCTCCAATTTTTGCCATTTACAATATTAAGTTCTTTAATTTTTGTCTTTAGCAGTCATAAAGAGTTCAGAAGAGAATAATATGACAGTGGTTCATGTTTACTCTGCTTTTTATTCCACTTTCAACCAATACAAATATTTATTGAGCTATGTCTTTTAGAAGGCTTATTTTTAACAGGGGCAAGCAAACATCACTGAGTATATTACACAGAAAAAGAGAAAAAGGTCTAAGGGAATTAGAGTGCAATAGGGTAGGGCTGCATTTTCAATAGGGGGCTGGTTAAAAAATGGCATTTGAGCAAAGACTTGAAAAAAGGGAGTAAGTAAAGGAGACAGCTGGTAAAGAACATTTGACACAAAGGGAACAGCCAAATGCAAAGGCCTACAGACCAGGGTGTGACTGAAGCACACAAGGAAAGATGGCCAATGTGTGGAAGAGTACTTAGAAGATACCATTAAGGTCATGGGCCTGATTATCTAGGCCAGGAGTTAGCATTTGTTTTTCCGTAAATGGGCAGAGAGTAAGTATTTTAGTCTTTGTAGGCCACATAAGGTCTCTATCACATAATTCTTTGCTTTTTAAACCAACCCTTTAAAAAATGTAAAACCCATTTCTTAGCTCATGAGCCTTACAAAAATAGGCCTAGGCATGATTTGGCTGCAGAATGTACATTAGACCCATGTAAGTAAGGACTTTGACTCTTATTCCAAGGAAATTATTATTTGACTCTGTTTTGAAAGAACCATGGTGGCTGTAGAGAGGCAAGGGAGACCAGTTAAGAGGACCACACAGATATGATAATGATATATAATAAGAGATAATGATAGTTCAGGCAAGGGTAGTAACAACGAAAATGAGAAGAGGTGATTAAATTCTGGATTTTTATTTATTTTCTTCTTCACATAACATAGATGAATTTCAGGAGTGAGAAAGCAGTCATGGATGCCTTTTTGGCTTGAAAAACTAGATAGAATTTTGTATACCACAATTGTGGGGACTGTGAATAGAATAAATCTTGAAGTATGTTTTGATTCAAAATAGAGTGAATTTCTATTGGTCGAATTCCAAAATATCTTGCTGTGATCTGAATGGAATTGTTTTCAGCTTAAAAAATTAATTTGGAAAGAAATGGCATCTTAACTATTTTCCATATTTCTATCTGTTAACAGATCAAGTATTCTTCCATGCCTCTAAATTAGGTTCTATGGTTTTCTTCAAGTGGAGAGTTCTAAAAGAGCAGTATTGAGGACTATTATCCCCAGTGCTTTAAATGACACCCAGCACAAGACAGGTATTCAATATAGTCTGATGAGAGCTGGGTAGTTTAGTGGTACAGTACTTGCTCAGGATGAATGAGACCTGGGTTCAATCCCCAGCATCATAAAAATAAAAACAAGCACATGCAATTATTAGTTTGGTGAACAGAATATATTTAAGAGAGTGGACAGCACATTTAGGCACTGCAAAAGATGATGAATCATTTTAAATTCATGGAATGCACACAATATCCTGTCAACAATTAGCAGTTTCAGCAGACAGGCAGCATGTCTGCTTCTGTGGGGGTTTCCTCTCCCTCACACTGCCTCTTTAGCTCTGCTGTGATCCCAGGTACCACATATGGGTATCACCCCTGCTTCTTGCTGGTGTGGCTTCCTCTACCCATGCAAACCTGTAGACTACTAGGACTGCTGGGTGTTGCAGTAGATGTCCAGCAGTGAAAGGAAAGCCAGGTTATGTACTCTTACCCTGAGGTAGAGATACTGCTGTGATTCTGCCAAATGTCTCCTCTACTTTCCTCAGGACACAATGTTTCTAGTTTCTGGAACTAGACTTTTCATATTTTTATATCCTAACTGATTATCTTCAGTAAGATGGGAAGAGTTCTTGAATTCTATGTTTCATATCATTTACCTTACCCGGAAGTTCTCTTAGAATCTCTTTCTCTCTATATATATTTTAACTATTTCAATTAGTCTGGTTTCCCAGTCCAAAGGGCATTAGAAATAACAGCATGCACCCAGTTCAGGGGAATCAGGTACTGTGGAGGACACAAGTGGTCCAGAAATGACATATCGATCAAGGAGTTTGCATTCAAGTAAGGAAGACAAAAATATAACACAAACATAATTAGGCTGAAAATGGTGGCACTTCTGACATTTCCTAAAGAGGTGCCTACATGGTGGGGATTTGTTTTAGTGGGCAGGGTTGAGATAGGAGAGAGGAAGTATTCTGGTAAGCAATCTAGGGGAGAAAAGAAAAAAAAAAAAGGTGGGGCATGGTGGTGCATGCCTGTAATTCCAGCAACTCAGTAGGCGAAGGCAGGAGGATCACCAGTTCAAAGCCAGCCTCAGCAAAAGTGAGGCGCTAAATAACTTAGTAAAATCCTAACTCTATACAAAATAGGGCTGGGGATGTGGCTCAGTGGTCAAGTGCCCCTGAGTTCAATCCCCAGTACAACAACAACAACAACAACAACAACAAAAATCGTAAGGGTAGTTTTGAATGATAAGTGGGGGCTTTGGTGGAAATCCAGCAAGAGGGAACATGATTTCAGGCAGCACAGAAAGACAAAGGCATTAAAAACAGTGCATTTAATTATCTGACTTGGTGTAGGTTGCTGGAGCCTACTGAATAAGGGAGAAAGAAATTAAAATTCACCTACAGAAGAGAGCATATCATAAAGGGTCTTGTGTATCTGTACTGAACATTTAAAGCATAGAGCATATTTTAGGAAGGACAGTAAGAAGGTAACTACTAAGATCCAAAAGAAAGATTATGAGGCTCTTCTTCAAGCAGAAATACGACTCAGATTCTTTTCATAAACCTTTATGAAACAGAATATACAATATTTAGTGGAAATGCTGTTTCAGGAATCAGGTGGCAAGACATGACTGGGATGGAGTCAGGTTTGGGCTATGTTGAATGGAAGAGAGGGAGAGTATGGACATTGAGAACATGGAAAGAAAACCAGAAGCAGTATCCTCCCAGGAAGATTTTGGTGGAAACACTGCTTTCAAGAATAAGAGAAAACATTTCAAGAATGAAATAAACACTTTGTAAATAAACTTGGAAATTTCAACAGAAGAAACAAAAAGGTGAGAATGTCTGTGAGATAGATACATAGCAGAAAACTTGTTTCAGCAGCAGCAGCAGCAAGCAAATGCCATATTAGGACTAGATCTTAAAACCCCCCAATCAGGGGCTGGAGTGGTGAATCAGGGGTAGAGAGCTTACCAAGCATGTGTGAGGCACAGGGTTCGATTCTCAGAACCATATATAAATAAATAAAATAAAGATGCACTGACAACTAAATATATTAAAAAAACAAAAACAAAAACCTCCAAATCACCCATATCCATACCTTCTCTGCTTTTTTGTCAGAAATGTCCTGCTTTTCCAGAACAGCCATGCTCTCCTTCAGGTTCTTCACGATGTCTGCTGGAGATTTGTGAGACTTCCCAAATGGGAACGGCATGACGGCAACAACAGAGGCCTCCGACGCACTCTGCCTGTTTGACCTGCAACAAGCACAAAGCTCAGGTGAGAAAACATGGGGTCAATAGAAGACATTCTTACCAAATAGGGAGGAAATCAGTGCTTAAGAAAGTCATGACTTTCATAATCAATAGAAATTGGGAGACCCACTAATATATGGAAAAAATGATAACAGAGATGCCTTGGAATTATAGAACATTGTACTTTTCAAAATTTTCTTTCTTTTCAAATCCTCGGTTCTCCTAACCACCCAGCCAAGAAAGAACCTGCCGATGCTACTGATATAGGTAGGTACAGTTACTGGTATCACTCACAGGGCAACATCTACTGTCAAACCCAATGCTAAGCATTTAATTCATCATCTAACAGAATGCTATAGTATTATCATTTACAGGTCAAGTTTAGCAAGGTTGAGAATCTGGCTCAAGGTACTAAGTGGTTAAAAAAAGCACTCAGGTCTGTCTTAACCAGTATCCTTAATCACTACATTATACCTCCAATTAATAGCTCTCTATTCTAAAGTCATGAGTGAGGCAAAAAGCCAGAGGAAGCTTTAGTTACACAGCACCAGCAAAACAGGTCTTTTATCTAGGTCTCTCCCAATGCTCCTGTCCAGTCCTTGTTGCTCCTCCCAAGCACCCCAGTGGGCTGCACTGGACATGTGCATACTTCCTCAACATGGCTACCCTTCTATTCAGTCAATCGCAGTGTCTCAGAGCTGAAAGAACCTTGGACAAATCTCCCAAAAGATCTTCAAAGCTCTCATGTGACACTTTCAACATACCCTTTAGGAATGGATGTGAAAGAACTCGCTTGATAAAACCCTAGAAATATTGAACTTATGAAAGTTCTTAATATTTTGGATATTACATTATCCAAAGGAGGACATACAACTACTCCAAGAAGTCATCGTGAAAAAAGGTTAACAAAACAAAAAATGGAATTGACTTGAGAACATATTAGAAGTTACGATTTCATTTTTTATTAAATAAACTAAAAAGAAGTTAAACTACGGAATCACTTCATAGTTTCAAACTGTGAATTCCAACTTTATATTTAACTGCTCCAGGTGTCTCCATACTTCCTACCCTTGAACCAATGTAAGAAAACATAGGTCTTAAATCCTCCAACCCTACTCTGTCCCCGCCTACATGTAAACTCAGTATCTCTGTCACACAGCATCACACTTCTTTTGAGCTCTCCCTATGACTTTACTGAATATTGAATATTTCCCCCTCTCAAGTTTAAGACACGATAACATACGTATCTGTTTATAAAGAACAAAGACTTAGGGGAAAACCATGTAAATGAATGTTAATGTTAAGACTATAGTTAAATCATAAACAAGTATGCTATTTCTCAAAGGTTTTGATATGATGTGTTCTAACCAATCTGTCCCAAAATATCACCTATCTCAGCTTCTGTCAGCTTATAAATCCTTTTTTGATCAAATTAAAAACACATCTTCATTAACCAAAGAGACATAGCCTAACATGGGTCTTCTTAAAATTCAATGATAAGCTTAAGTCCATTTCTAAGTATCTTTCTATAAGAAGTCTGGATGGACTACAGGAGAATCACTCCCCAATAGCTGTTAAATTATCTCTGATTATCTGGCTACATGGCAGACAAATTCTGGATTTTTCTTTCCCAAATCATTTTTAAAAAAAATGTCGGGGAAGGGGGGCATGCAGGTTGCTTCTACATAAATATAGTAGTTCACACTCAAATTCTCTGAAAATATTTCTTTCCTATTTGTGATTGTGCAAATCACAGCAGTGATGTCTATATATGTCAATGCTGGTGGAGAGTAGGACTGTTTACTGGAATATTTTGCAGGAAGTATTTAGAACCCTGTCTCAATGGTGGAAGAGGTGATTTTCCAGGGTAAAGGAGTTTTAAGAAGTCCTACTAAAAGTTAAAATATGAAAAAACTTCAAATTTAAGAATACCCACATGGGATGATTACTAAGTAGACAGATAATTCATGTGCCTAGAACATTGCTAACAGCAGGTAAGAAAAGCAATGCTTTAAGAAATAAAAGATCTTGCCAGGCATAGTGGCACCCACCTGTAATCCCAACTACTTGGGAGGCTGAGGCAGGTAGAGCTCAAGTTTGAGGTCAGCTTGGGCAACACAGCAAGACCCTTTCTCAAAATAATAATTAAAAAGGGGCAGGAGGGGGGGGGGCTGGGGTTGTGGCTCAGCGGTAGAGCGCTCACCTAGCATGTGCACAGCGCTGGGTTTGATCCTCAGCACCACATAAAAATAAATAAATAAAATAAAGGTATTGTGTCCAACTACACTGCTGATACAGTGGGGGAAAAGAGAGGAAAAAATGAGAAAAAAAGTTCCTAAGCATGTTAGATTAACATGCCCAGTACTGTGTATTGATTTTGTGTTGCTAAATTTGCAATGAGTATAATAAAAGAAGGCCAAAGCAGCTAACTGACAAACATATTATCACTGATAAACAGAAAGCCTAAACTTATAGAAAATGGATAAACAATCCATCCTTAGTACTTGAAACTTACTTAACAAGCCACAAACATGTTCAGGTTACTATATTAATCTAAATGCAGACATTTTCTATTTTATTCAATTCCACTTATTAAAATACAAGGGTTTATAACTAATTAGAACAAATTAAAAAAAATACACAGGTGACTAAACAATTTCATGAATTACCAATTGGTTTTAGTGATAATAAAGAGGAACAGGAAGATATGGAACCAAATAGACTTCATGTTTTAATTCTTGCTTCAATCTTTTTACTGTTATCTATACCCATAAGAAATAGTAGCAATTCTTGCACACAACAACACATCACCTTCAGAAGATGCTCAAATTATATAGCAAAGGCACATTGCTTAGAGGGACTCTCATCAGTACTGCCTTCTCCATGCAGTGGAGACAAAGCCTTCCAAAAAGCCTGGTCTACCATGCCAGGAGTATTGTTCAGAGTGCTTTGAGACCTAGAAACATGATAAACACATAGGCACCAGTCTTTGTTTCTGACTGCCTTTCTCATTTATCCTTCTTCCTCATCATTATTTCCTTAAGTAAGAAACTGAAGGGATTTTAGGAAATAATAAGAACCCACTGAATAAGGCCCTTCTTCAATAATTTTTCTCTGCCCTTAGATTAGAATCCAAAACCCATATGTTAAACTTACAGCTTTTTTTTTTAATGGTTACACTGCTTGTTCAGCAAGATTCAAACACTAAAGGATTATTACATAAGGAAGAAAGTGAAAATCACCTGCAAAGCCTATAGACAGCCATTATTAATGGATTAGCATAATGTCCTTTTAATTTCTTCCTTTATATGTGTAGCTTTTTGCACTGGAAATCTACTCTCGTCTCCAACATGGAGACTTGATGACACTAGATATGATGACTTCTAGTTTACAAAGAACGAAAACTTCAAATCACTATTCTATTCCACTGATATTCCTAATAGCAGAAAGTTTAGCAGAAAGCTCCTCAAGAAAGTGCTGGAGAATATACAGAAGAGCCACTGGGGAAAGTCCACACCATTAAAGTTAGGACTGTTAGGTACTGCCCATCTTTGGCAATGTGACTGCTTCCACATTCTTATTCACCAGTGTACTGATGAATACTGGAGGGTAGTCAAATGGCCCATAAGCCAGTCACCATGATACATTAATTTATTCAAATACTAACAGTGCATTCACTATATGCCATAAAGTTAAAGCACTGAGTACCTGTTCTCAAGACAACATTCTGCTGTGTATGGATGTGGGTGTACATGTTTAGAGAGAATAATGAAAAGCTGTTGAATGACAACACATTCCTAGACAGTTGAGTTCATAAGACTCTACATGAACATATTTGTTAGGCTTGACTCATAAACTTGGTGGTCAAAAGCAAAAAAGTGCAAACAAACACAAAGTCCTCCCTCCCATAAGACTTGCATACAGGAACTATTAAGGAATCTAATAGGCAGTTGTAAATTAGCCCTAAAACCTAATCTTGCTTTCAGGTTAATGTTACTTAATTCATATAATTACTGAATATGTACAGATACTGTGTTAGGTGCTAGAATACCTATCCAGTAGTGCAATTATAGAAAGCACAGTAGTTAATTACATGGCTTTAAAGATAGCCTGGGTTCAAATCTTGACTTCTCAAGGTCTTAACTGATTTAAGACTTTTCTAAGCCCTCTCACCTCATATGTGAAAATGCAAAACACAATATCTACCTCACAATGTGGTGTTAAGAATTAAATTACACATGTTTAAAGTATTTAGCACATCATCCACATACAGTAAAATTTAAATAAACAGGAGTACGGGATAGTTTTTTCCCTATCTTCTAAAATCTGATTACTATTATTTCCCGAATTAAAGTGGGTAGATACGATTTTTATCATATAGACTATACAGCACCATATAAAGCATTACAATGAGTGATCTTATCCTTCTTTTTAAGTGTGCACTTAGAAGTCCTGAGTCAGCTTTTGGATGGATGGGAGGTTTGCCCTTCTTAGCTGCAAATAAGATGTGATGATTCAGCTCCATTAAAATAAACCAAGGGCATCTTTAAGAAGCTGGTGGATCTTTGGTTAATTAAAAAGCTACCAAATGCATAAGTCTAAATCAACCATGTCAAAACCAAAATCAAGTGCTCAAGAACACACATGGCACTAGAATGTGTTTTGTGATTAACAGATTGTAACCAGACTTTCAGGGGTCAATGATACACAAAAGAAACCATACAGAAAATTATTTTATAGCCTAGGCAGTAAATGATAGTGATGGCAATAATACCAGCAATATTTAAATAATGTAAGATCTCTCACAGTTTGTGAGCATTGCCAACTTCTCTGTCCAATTGTGAACCCCATCCAATGACTTACTTCACTCCTGACCAAACCTACAACAAACCTGACGATCTATCCCTCCCTTTCTCATCTCCCTCATTCTAGGTTTTGGTTATATTTTGTGCTTTGACATTTCTGGACCAGGTCTAAGTATATTCCCCATATTGTTCATAGGG